TATCAATTTTGAGAAATTTCTCAATTTTTTCATGATTAAAATTGAGAATATTATAAACTGAGAATGTTCTCAATTTCAAAAAACCCCAGATCTCTCTCTCTCTCTCTCTCTCTCTCTCTCTCTCTCTAATGGCTTCCTCTAAGCTCAGAAGCTCATGTTCCTTCCCCAATCTCCTCCTCTCATGCTTGAATTTCACTCTCGTCATCCTCTCTGCAACCTCTCTCTTCCCCATCATCCTCCTCAAAATGCCCCCAACTTCTCTAGGCTGGGCATTCCTCACAGTCTCTTCAATTTCACTTCTCTCCTCCTTTGTGGGATTCTACTCTCATCTCACCCACTTCTGCTTCATAACCCACCTCTCCCTCCTTCTCGCCTCCTCAATCGGTCAATTACTCGCCATTTTAGCCCTCTTCACCAAAGAAAAACCGAGCCTTTCTCTACTAAAATCGCCAAGAGACCCGAGAGAGGCTAAAGTGTTGGTGAGATTGGAGTGTGGGATTTTAATGGCAATGTTTGTATTGCAAATTGGTGTGTTGGTATTGATGTGTGCTGTGCATAGTTGTTGGGTGAGAGAGTATGAGGGTTTGGAATCAGAGAGAGAGGCAATGGAGAGGAAGAGGAGTCGGAGGATGGTGAGGGTGCAGGAGGAATCGATGGCGACTGTGGCGAAAATGGCAGAGATGAAAGGGAAGGAGTTGGATGAGAAGGTGAAGAATAAGTACGGGCAATGGGTAAAAAATGATTTGGAAGGCTAAAGGCAGAACACTCCTTGTGGTTGTTATTAGTAGTTAAAATTATCTGTTTTTTTTGTTATTTTTTGTTTTTTGTTTTTTTAAACATAGTTAAAATGATCTGTTTGTTGTTGATATTTTTGTTGTTATTGTTGTTGTGTTTTTTTGGGGTCACCATGGGGTGTCCACCGGAGGCTTTATATGAATATATGAATGGTGGTTTTGATGATTAATACAATGTTAGCTCTTTCATGTGCAATTTTTTTGAATTTTTTGAATTTTTTTTTTATGTGCGATTGTTTTGTTTATTTCGAATGAAGGCTGAAATAGAATGATCATTGGTCAAAGGAAAATACTATTCTCATATTTAGTTTGGGTAAAAGAAAAGAAATGTACCTTCTAAATAGAAATGTACCTCCAAAATTTGTGACCTCCACAACCTCAATTGATTTGTGACCACTCATTATTTTATATATTTATTTATTTTTCTTCTCTTTCTCCTCCCTCTCTCTCACAAATGTGTGTGGGGGTGTGGGGGTCCTAGGGTCCTATCACCTCTGATTCTACAATTTAGAAGAACAATTATTTTATTGAGAGGTGAAGAAATAACCATTTGATTCCTATTCAAAATCATTCTAAGCAAACTAAACACTACCCCAAATGAATCTTTCTTGCAGATGATGGTATATTATAGGTCTAAATTTGAATCTTAATGAATTAAACCGATGCAACTGGAAGAAAACTTTAGTTAATTTTTAACCAACAATTATTGGATGACATTATATTATAACTAAAAGAAAACTTTTTAAAAATACCAAAAAATGCAAAATTGGAAGCCAAGAAATAGAATTTGGCTGAAAAGCAGTTTCACAACGCTGCGAGTTTTGTTTGTTGGGCTGTTTTGGATCATTTTTTTACTGTCTTTTCTTAGAGTCCTATTGTGGCAGATGTGTTGAAAACTACAAGGGATTTGGATTAGTGTGGATTAGTAGTTCTCGCTTTGTCACAAGTAATTTGACCATAATGTATATTGAATTATGCCAAAATACATAGTGTGTGCAAGGGAAAACTTTCTCGCACTAGAGAGAAATAAGATGACGTGGTGCAAGTTGTTTTCTTCTCCGAGATCACAATACGTTAGAGTTGTCTGGCTGGTGGTTGATATCAAAGAGCACTTTAATGATCATGTTAGTTCTTGTATATAGATGGGGAGAAGGTAGATTAGGAGTACTATTTTATGGGGTTGATTAAACATAATTCTATTTGTTCATCTTTCCCCTCTTATATACATGCATATGTCATCATTTAGATGTCATATCTAGTGGAATTATCTTCTTACTAGGTTGCTCCTTGGCTTTTTTTGTTTCCTACCTCACCTGCAGTTGTTGGGTCCGGCTTTCTCATTTCACTAATTGGGCCGTCGTTATGGCACAGGTTGCCATTATTCATAGGTCTGTCCCACTGGTATTTTTTTTCCCTTCGCACATAGTTTTTGTCAAAATTCATATTTTTGTATGTGAAAGGAAGTGGGGTGCTCATGGATCGAGGTTGGGTTGAGTTGCATGTCATTCGCCATCTGTCCTAATGGTTTTGGAGTGAGAAAATCTTATCCGCAACCAACCAACCACCCTTAGTTTCGAAATCGACGGAGCAAGTTGTACGGATTAGCAACTGGATGCGAATTGAGTTGATGGCCTGGGTTTTATTGTTTTGGGCCTTTTTGAGCTTATTTTCTTAGTTATTTTTCTTACTGATTTGTGCCTTTTTGGGCTTTTTTTTTTCTCAATTAGCGAGCTTTCTGTTTTGGACTTTCTTTGAGTCTTTTACTTAGTTCTTCATTTTTTGGAAAGTGTGCTTTTCAATTCTGTTTATTGAAATAAATATAATAATTGAAAGCCTAATTTCATGTGGTCTAGTTGGGTTCCGCAGATGGAATCCTATATACCCACCACTCGATCAAAACTCAACTTTTTGGAAATTGCCAGACCTGCAACTGTCCATCCGTTGCATCAAAATGTCCATTTGAGCTCAAGTTAAGTTGGGTTGGTTTAGGTAGGTTGGGCGGGTCACTGGATGTTTGCCTATGAAACCAAACTTGTCCAATGTATTATAGAGCAGGGGAATAGGTGATTCATACTTCGGCTCACGAACATTTTTTTCTACCCAGATTTCGTTTTAACGAGTCTATTGGGCCTTGAATTGCCATGTTTTAGACGAAAATTAACTGCAAGCATAAGTAATGGGTTGAAATAACACAATTGTAGCAGAAATGAATGTAGAATTTCAATGATCATGATACACAAAGAAATTTGGCTCATCATTGAATGACAATATATGAATCTTTGAATAGCTCTTGGAATTTTGATTTAGCCCATTTTAGTGAACGTTAGAAATGAATGTAAAGTATGGGAGTGGCCATCAAAACATAAAGTTATTTTACTTTTTTCAATTACGAAGTTGCATCCAACTCCTATCCATGGTGCAAAGGAACTAAATTAGAAAGAGAAAAAAAAAGAAAAAGAAAGTGGAATTGAAATTTCTAATATGTTTAGATTTTGAACTTAAAGATCAATTTGTGGAAGAAATAGAAAAAGGAAAGAGAAATATAAATAGGATAAACTACATGTAGGTGAGAGAAGGAAAAAAAAAATTTTCCAACACATTGAGGGGTACAAGTGACACTTGCACCCTCACAACCTTTCATTTGCATCCCACCACAGACATACTTGAACGTCCTGTGTTTGTAATTTTTTTTTTCCTTTCTCCAACCTTTCATTTGCACCCCACCACAGACACACTTGAACATCCTGTGTTCGTAATTTTTTTTTTTCCTTTCTTCCACTTTCATGTAATTCCCCCATATAAATAAAATATAATTTTTCCCCCCACAAATCCCTTTGCAATTTAAAGATCCACTCATCATGCTTAATTAACTTGAGAATCCCTTTAACAATAAGAATTCAATAATTGGACTCAATTAGTTTAAGTGTGTCCTTAATATATTATATGCATGAATGTGTCACCATTACACATGCCGTGTTAAACTAATAGATTTCTTATTAATAACCAATAATGCAAACTAGATGGGGGTATTAGGGTCCATTAATTATTGTCAAAAAATATATGATATATTTGTTTCTATTGTGAGGATGTAAAGGGGGAGGAGATAGGTGGCTTCTAAGGATACCACATGTTCCTCTGACAATCATATCCCAAACCCTGACTTCTCCCATTTTGTGGTTTCACTTCCACACCTTGTGTTCCAGGTTTTGGGTCCCATTTTTTTTTTTCCTAACATTTTAAATTTTTTTTTTATGTGACTAATTATGAGTAGTCTAAAATCAAAACGTAGTGATTTGAAATTTTCGAATAATTACTGTGTATCAAAGTTTGTTGGTCTCAACAATTCTATGAAGATAAAAATCGATTACAGAGCTACACGTAACATATATCCATTTATATATATTTTGTATTTGATTTCTGTATTCGTGACATTCAATACAAGAGGTAACCACCCCTTGTGGTAGTTATTATCTGTTTGACAGCCTTTATTGGGTGGTGATTGAAGGACCAACATGACTGGCACGCCGTTAAGTTTGGTATTAAATGTCAAAAGAACAATTGAGTTTTCAAATTGTTTTTCTTGTTTTCATTGCCAGTTACATAGATAAGAAACACAGTACTCTTTTTATAGATCAAAACTACTGTTTTCATTTCTGGGACTCCTGGGACTCTTCTTTTTGTCATTCCTTGAAAGAGAAAACAAAGGAAGTTTCAAATAAATCTGGAATTGGAAAGCTTCAATGTCGATTGTACCGATGAACAGACCTATTGGTTTCTTCAAGATTTCAAGCTATGGGATGAGAAATTGTCACAAACACACTTGTACCTCCTTGACAGCGTGAGTTCAATTTTAGCACGTTCCTTGAATCAAATTATACTCATAAGCATCAACAAAATTTGAAACATTCCTTTCTGAAACTGTATGATTTTCTTTTCTTTTCTTTCTTTCTCTGACCAAATCTGAATGTGAGTAGAGTTTTCTGTGGTTGTTTATGAGGTCATAGAATCCAAAATCGGTGCATGAGTTGAACTTTTTCTTTTTAATTTTCTCAACCAACAGGGCATTGAATTCTAGATCTACACAATCAGAGACAAACAAGAAAGAAGAATTCTCAGTAGAAAATCAGAAACTCACCATTCCACAATCTAAAACAAGTCCTTTGAATCTCCATTTCAACCGGCTGCAGCCATTCGATCAAGAAATTATTCAGGAGGATAGAATTGAGTTTGGACAGTTCGTGGCACGTGAGGCCTTTCTAGACGAAGAATTTTGGGTCAGTATCTTATTATTCTATATATAACCTAAAATTCAAAGCATGAACTTCTTATAATATGGTTGCTTTTTATGTAACCCCGTGCCAGTTTGAGGTGGTAGTTGTGTTTTTGTTTTTTTGGTAGACAGCAGCATGGCTGCGAGCAGAAAGTCATTGGGAGGATAAGACAAATGAACGGTATGAATTAAATATCAAAATCAAAACCTCTGAAGCACATAGTTAAATTTCTAGAAACAAATCTACATGTGGAAGATTGAACTTGCCATTGTTATATGAAAACAGATAAATGAGGAAATTAATAGAACAAAGAGACCGGTTGGAGTGTTTGTTTCAATCCTGTTTGTTAACTCGTTATTCTATATATAACCTAAAATTCAAAGCATGAACTTCTTATAATATGGTTGCTTTTTATGTAATCTTGTGCCAGTTTGAGGTGGTAGTTGTGTTTTTGTTTTTTTGGTAGACAGTAGCATGGCTGCGAGCAGAAAGTCATTGGGAGGATAAGACAAATGAACGGTATGAATTAAATATCAAAATCAAAACCTCTGAAGCACATAGTTAAATTTCTCAAAACAAATCTACATGTGGAAGATTGAACTTGCCATTGTTATATGAAAACAGATAAATGAGGAAATTAATAGAACAAAGAGACCGGTTGGAGTGTTTGTTTCAATCTTGTTTGTTAACTCGTGGCCATAATATGCCATTCCACTGACTTCTAGCTCTACTTAACAATACAGATATGTTGATAACTACAAAAGGAAATTTGCAGAGCAGGTAGGGCTAAACTGGCATAATCTGTTTATCAATATAAAAAATAAAAAAAAACACGACTGGAATATATATTGTGCATAAAAATCTTTACCCATTTTCTGTGTAGGAGTTTACGGCATTGAAAAGGCGATGCAGAAAGCAACAGAAGCATCAATGTACCTGCGTTGTGACGGTATGATTTTCTTTTCACAAATCATCTTTCGGGCACCAATTTTTATCTTCTATCTTTTTATAGTTTCTTTGGGTTAGGATTAACATCAAGTTCAATCATTTTTGAAAGAGTTCATTGATCTCTTGGTTGGGCTAATGATAAAATTTTATGTTTATTATCGAAGAAGCTCCTCATACAGGGTCATTCAAATTAATAGGTAAAGAAGGAAGACAAGAATGTGAAATGTACCATACTGAAGAGTGTAGTTGGAACCCTAGATTTGAGCATCCGATACTTGTTGCCTGGAGAGACCTTTCCCGGGGTAAACTCTCATCTAATTAATGAATCTGCATCCGATACTCAATGCTTCTGTTGCCTCAACTTTGAACTTTGTCCTCTCACAGGAAATGGTGAAAGCCCCTCTCTTTTGCAGCATTGACAGAACAGGCCAAAACAGATACTCTTACATTGCAAACCTGTGTGTTTCCAAATCTGCTCGCCGCCAGCGTATTGCAATGAACATGTTGTATTTTGCTGTTAAGTTAGCTAAATTCAATGGTAAGACGATAACCTGCGTCGGTTCTTTGGATTTTGAACAAAAGCAAACATGATTTACTTTAAACCATGGCAGGTGCACAGCAGGTATTTGTGCATGTGCATAGAAAAAACCAACCTGCACAAGAACTTTACCATAAGATGGGCTTTGAGGTATTCTGATGGTAGTTAAAAGCTGTTTTTCTGGCTTCTGTTTCTAACCATGAAGAGCTTATGCAACTTTTACATTCTCTGTGATCAGGTGGTCGAAATGGCAACCCCTCAATTATCGAAAGAGCAAACTTACTTGCTTTGCTTTGAATTATAAAGCCTTATTTGGCAGAAGTTTATCTCCATTGATTGTATGAAAAAGGAAAACATTGTCCTAGTGGACCACAACAGCTCACCCCAAATTAGGGATGATGAAAATAAAATTTACCACTGCATAAAGTTGTTTTCAAATTCAGCAAATGAATCATTCGGCTCACAGGAAATTCTTACACACCAAAAAAGTAACTAATACGATGTTGGGGGAAATGGTCAAGTAAAGCAGATACTAAAGATACAAAATACAGTTCCTAAAAAAAAAAAACTTTTCTGTTAGTATTTATGGCAGGTCTTGTTGTTCGTGATGCAAATAACTAATTGCAAGGCAATTTATGCAGAACAAGTGACCTGATCATCAACATAATAATTAAGAATTGCAACAGATTTATTTCTTCAAGTTTCCGGAAGATGGCTCAGGGATTAAAAAAAAGGGGGACTACATACAGGTGGGAGAAGGGGAAAAAAATTACTAACACATGGGGATGCAAGTATCAGTGGTGGGTTGCAAATGAAAGGTTGTGGGGGTGCAAGTCCATGTGTTGGTTATTTTTTTCCCTTTCTTCCACCTACCTGTAGTTCCCTCTAAAAAAAACAACTCTGGATGTGATAGAAATCATGATACTTAAAATTGAAAAAAACCCATGAGGGAACTTTCATTTTTACATGTCTCAATGAAAAGAAAGCTGTCACCCTCTAAAAAAATAAAAAAAAAATAAAAAAATGAAAAGAAAGCTGTATTAGCTTTAGAGATTATCTCAGGTAGTTTATTGACTTCAACAACATTCTGTGAGGATAGATATCATATCACTTTTACATCAATGTGATAATTGGTAATGACAGCAAAAACATTATTCCAACTGAAAATTTCCAATGTTGTGCCGTAACAAAGGCAAAAAACTTAAATATATGACTAACAAATAAATAAATAAATCTTTAGTTTTCGACAACCCAACTGGCTATTACCACTATAAGGATATTGCCACCAGCCATGCAAATTTTGTCCCTCAAAATAAATCCTTTGGACTCCCAACTTTACCATTAGGATAGTGTTCATAGGTTAATCAATCCACTCAGCAAGCTCAATCTTTCAGAGGTACATTTTGCCAAATGCCAATCATTGCTTACAAGAAACTAGTATCCATATTGCATCCCATATTATACATGTTGGCCATGGTACTTGAGATGAATGTGATCTGCTTGAATATAACACTTTAGAAAGGCCGTGATTTTGAACCTGATAAAAATGTATGAAACCTCTGGTTTACCTCCACCAAACTATGGCCTGGAATCTTTTTCAACTCTCTTTCTTCCATCAACTTCCTCAATCTTGCTACGTCTTCCCACCTTCCAGCCTCAGCATAGATATTTGTCATAAGGACATAAAAACTAACAGTTTGAGGCTCCAACTGATGCAATCGGTCAGCAACAAGCTCTGCTAGGTCAAGATTACCATGGATTCTACAAGCACCAAGCAAAGCTCCCCAAACACCAATATCTGGTCCACTTGGCATGTTCTCGATAAACTCATAAGCCTCCACCAATTGGCCAGCTCTACCTAGAAGATCCACCATACAAGCACAGTGCTCTACAGCAGGCCTGATTGAGTAATCTTTTGTCATGCTCTCAAAATGCTTCTTCCCTTCTTCTACTAAACCTGAATGCCTACAAGCTGTTAAAACAGAAATGAAGGTGAAGCTATTTGGCCTAATTCCTTCCTCTTTCATCTTTGTGAAGAGTGTCAGAGCATTGTCCCCATGCCCATGAGATGCACAGGCCCCTATAATTGAAGTCCAGGACACAACGTCAGAGCATTGCCCCCATGCCCATGAGATGCACAGGCCCCTATAATTGAAGTCCAGGACACAACACTTTTATAAGGCAACTTGTCGAAAACACCCCTTGCCAAATCTATGTTTCCACATTTTGCAAACATGTCAATTAAAGCATTAGTAATCGAAACATTAGTTTCAAGACCTTTGTTCCTCACAAGCTTATGTATCCATTTCCCAGTATTGAGTGCTCCCAACTTAGCACAAGCTGATATAACACTAACCATTGTGATATAATCAAATTCTACCTTTTCAATTAGCATTCTACGGAAGAGCTTAATTGCATTCCGATCAGCATTAGTCTGTTCATAAGCAGCAATCATGGCATTCCACGAGACCAGGCTTCGGACTGGCATCTGATCAAACAAAGATCTGGCAGTATCAACAATTCCACACTTACCATAAAGAGCGATTAACGTGTTAATCAGTGAAATATGGGAGTCCACCCCCAATTTAACAGCACAACCATGAACCAATTTCCCCAAGTTCAAAAACTCCAAACCAGCACAGGCGGGAAGAATGCTGATGAGTGTAATTGCATTCGGTTGAGTCCCCAAAGCTACCATCTCACGAAAAGCGCACAACCCTTTTTCGAAAAATCCATTTTGCACATACCCCGCAATCAATGCAGTCCAAGAAACTATGTTCCTCACAACCATCTCACCAAAAACTAGTTCCGAATTAAAGATCTCCCCACTCTGCGAGTACATTGTAATTAATGAACTCTGTACAAATACATCCAAATAAAATCCAATCTTAATTATGTTGCAGTGCGCTTCTCTCCCTTCCATCAAAGCTGAGAGGACAGAACAAGATCGAACCACAGAAGGAAATGTATAGCTGTCGGGTGATAATCCAATCTGATGCATATCCCTGTAGAGAACTATGGCCTCTTGACAAGGACCCAGATTGGCGTAACCTCGAATCATGGTGTTCCAGAGAAATAAATCCCTTTCAGGCATTAAATCAAACAGTTTGCGAGCATAGTCCATTGTTGGGGACACGGAGCGAGCTAAGGTGATGAGTTTGGTGGATAAGAGGAGGTTTTTGTGGGACCCATTTGTGAGGATGAGAGCATGGATTCGTTTGAGGTCTGAAAGAGAGGAACAAGAATTCAAAAGGTAGTTAAAAGGAAGGGAGTGGCAGTTAGTATGGAAGTGAGATGGGGCATACAAAATGGGCTCAAGTTTTTTAAGAACTGTGAGGAAGGAGGTGGCTAACATCAACTTCACATCCCTTTGATAACAGAGCAATTGTGTTTTTGGGATATCACGTAGGGTGCCCAAATGTTCTTTTCCCTATTGGCAGTATGGATTTGAGTCATTAGCATTAGTTCAAAAAAGATTCACTTTGGTTGGGGAAAATGAGTGAGATTCGTTTTTCGGCGAGTCCATAACTTTTAAAGTGATTGATATCACTCCTAAACAAAATAATTATAAATATTTATATTTATTTTAAATTTTTTTAATATGTAAGTTATATTTTTTAAGATTTTTTATAAAATAATTTAATAATCTTATCACTAACCATAGTGTATGAGAGAAATTGAAAAGGATATTGTAATAATTAGATTGTATCTATAATTATTTGCTTGAGAAGATTTTAAATGCTGATAAGGAGATTTTGACCAAATCAATAAATGCAGGCATGTGGAAAGACATATCGATTGAAAAAAGTTAATAAATGCTGATCATGAAATTTTGACCAAAACAATAAATGCTGAGTTTTTTTTAAATAAAAAATTTAGAAAATTCATATTGGGATATTGAAGCTCCCACAGGCCTTGGGGGTTAAAAACCCCCTTTGCTTAATATATAGAATAGATATGTGGGGTCATTACCCTAGTACACCTAGTTGATGAGGATGATCATTTAAGCAAAGTCCTCACTTTTGTCACATTTTTAAAACACCCATTTTGTCATTTGCCACATTTTCAAACTTTATTGTATTGTGAAACTAATTTTGGTATTGCAATAACAATTTCTTCAATTCCTTCACTTGCATGTGTATTACTTGTAAATATCAAATGAAAATTGCAAGATCCATTAAGGAAAAGGGTTGGAACAAAGTTGAATTATCTCAAGATAGGGGGGTACTTCAATTATATTAACTTAAAGGTAATATTACATTTTTATCAATTGTGGTATAATAATAATAATAATAATAATAATAATAATAATAATAATAATAAAAAAAAGTGCCAAGTTTCATAATCATCTCTCTTCTCTACAATAAACTTCGGAATTGGGGTCATTGTTGTGCCTTTGGCACAACAGTGATTGTTGTGCCTCATTTTGAGATGCATTATGTGCTTGTTTTTATGATCTGAACCGTTAAGTTTGTAAGATTTGTTGAGTACTTCATGCCTGTCAAAAATTATATTAATCGGATATCAATAACTATATGATTGAATTACATATTTTTATACTATTTTTCAAAAGAAAAACTTCTTGTTTATTTTTTTGGTTATCAATCATATAGTTATTGATATCCGATTAATATGTTTTTTGGTAGGCATGAAGTACTGAACAAACCCTACAACATGAACGGTTCAGATTATAAAAATAAATCCATAATACATTACAAAATGAAGCACAACAGTCACTGATGTGCCAAAGGCATAGCAGTGACCCCAGGCCCATAAACTCCCGGGTAAATTACATTCAACTTTCTTTGAAATTGGAGAAAATAAAGTAAATTTCATAGTTTTGATATAATTGTATTAAGTTTCTTTACAATTTTAATTAATATAATACTTAATTTCATTTTCATCAATAATTTGTCAGTTATATGAATAAAAACAATGATATTATCATCTTTTTTACACGAAAATATTTATTTTATATTGTATAATTTTGTATTTTCATACTATCTGCATTAGTTTCATTCCATTTAATCTTATTAAAAAAAAAAGATTAGTGTAATTATATCAAAATTGTGGAGCTTATTTTATTTTATTTTATTTATTTATTTTTAAACCTCAAGGGAAGTTAATGGAATTCACCCTAAATTCTAAATTGTCTTTTTTCCAAGTTCAAATTTGAATTTGAGGGAATTTTTAAGGTCCGTGGGGCCCACCATGAATCCTATTTAGATTATTTGAACGTTCATTTTGTAAGATTCTTAATATGTATATCATCCATAAAATAAAATAAAAAATTAAGTCAATTCGATAATCGTAATATTTTCATTTTATGGCGTTTGTTTCTAAAAAATAGATAACAAGTATATTTTTGAAAATAAAACATTCATTTTTTGAAAATAAATATGATAAAATGATAAGATTACAATTATTGGATTGACCATTTTATTTTTATTTTTATGAATCATACATACAGAGGATCCTATAAATGAATAGTTCGTATCATCGAAATGGAACCTATGATGACTATCCACAGGCTCCTCGAATTGAACTTGAGAGAAACCAATCTTTTATCTAAAAATTGGCCCTCTAATACTACTTTGCTTCTTAATTTTATAGTTGTCTTAGTCAATCTCAAGCTTGAGTTCATGTCTTATCATTTTTTTTGGATCAAAGAGATACTGTGGGGATATATTTTCTGAATACCAACACGTGGCAGGGTGACGCCGACGTGTCAGCCGAGGTGCCACGTGTCCTGATCGTGACGTCGAGGTGATCTCGGCAAGGCCGAGGTTATCTCCGAAGATATCGGAATCCGAGATAAGAGGATAAAAGATAAGGGACAAGAGTCCTAGAATAAAGAGGAGATTTAGCCAAGATAAGGATAAAGCTCTTAGAGAGTTTATCTTTATCTCTTGAGGAGTCCAAAGTAAGTACTGAACAGGAGTCCATAGAAGTGCGGCTTCTAGTGGGATTGGGATTAAGTAAACTATAAAAGAGAGGCACCCCCCGTGGGTCTAAGGTACGCAATTTATGCTTTGAGCAGTGAGTTTAGCACTTGATTATCTTTGAGAGATATACTGACTTGATCGTCGGAGTGCCCCCGGGTGGAAGAGCCACCGTCAGAGCCTTTTCTTTCTGTTACAGGTTAACTGAAGCCATCTATTCTGCCAGTGCTCTCTAGCTGATTACTAAACGGGCAGTGTGGTCAGAAAATTACTCACACAATTTGGCGCCGTCTGTGGGAAATTAGAAGAATAGATGGCCAGTCACGGACAGAAGGAAAAGATCGGGGACGATGCTCCTACTGGGAGTGGCAGACCAATCGACCTTGATATTGAAGGAGACAACCACAATGCAGAAACCCGTGACTAGGGCCACAAAGAGAACGACGTCGGCCAGGAGGGCAACACTTCGAAGAAGATAGACCAAAGCAAGTACTATAACGAAGATAACTTCCAGGTATGGAGAGATAGGTGTCTGCGGAGGGATGAAGAAGGCAAACAAGTTGGCAGACCTGCAGTCGGTTGTCAACTTCATGATGTAAAACAATGTCATGCAGCCACCGTACCCACTGCATGACACGCCGATTCCAGCAACTAATACCTAGAAGGGAGGAAGGAAAACAATCCCGGAAGCCCCTCAGCACACCAGGAGCGGCAGGCACTCTCGCCGACCTTCCAGGGAAATCGGACGAGAGGAGCCGAGACGAGAGAAGTCCTGAAAGACGTATCACACGAAGGACCCAGAGCCCAAAGAACATCAGCATGTTCAAGGGCAGGCGCTCTGCTTTGACACAACCCATGGAGAAAGATCCAAACGGGCTCACCACGAGGCCGAAAGTAGTATGCCGAAAAGATTGAAGTCCAAAGATAGCCGAGCTCCAGGAAGGAGTAAAGAAGACTTCAGAGATTACCTTAAGAGGAAGCAACAGAATGCTGAAGCCGAGGTAACTTCCCCGGTTAAGCCGAAGACACCATTCTCGGTGGAACTGGACAAATTTGAAGCACCAAAGAGATTCAGTATGCTGAGGTTCCAAATATATGATGGTAAGTCAGATCCCAACTTTCATGTTGGACTATATCTGAATTCAATGGCATTATATAGTGGGAACGAGCCGTTGCTCTACAAAGTATTCCCCTCATCCTTCGGGGAGATTGCATCAGATTGGTTCCATAAACTACCGAAGGGAAGCGCAAAGACTTGGGAAGGCCTGGCCGAGATGTTTGTGGCCAGGTTTGTGACGAACAAACTACAGCCCTTGAGGGTCGACGCATTGATGGCTTTAAAAATCACCAAGGATGAAGGCCTTAGGGCCTACGCAAAAAGATACTACGAGGTGTTCAATCGAATACCTGAATGCAACCGAGAGGTGGCGGTCGTGTCTTTCAAGAACGGCTTGAAAGATGACTGCCCACTACGGAAGTCTTTGGTAAAAACATTGCCAAAAAGCATGGAAGAACTCATGGCGAGAATCGAGAAGTACGCCAGAGCCGAGAAGGATACATTGGGAAACAAAGAGACAAAGCAGGAGAAAGGAAACGGCTCGCCGAGGCGAAGCCGAGGTAACAATGGACCGATCAAACAAGAAACGGAATTGAGGGCTAAACAGGCAGTGACGACTGTATTTCGAGTCCCAATCCACAAAGTCCTGGATCAAATACGAAACCAAACCTATTTAAGAGGACCGACAAGAACACTAGGGGAATTTATGGGAAGAAACGTCGGTAGGCGTTGTGCTTACCACAATGAAGAAGGACACCCAACTCAGGGTTGCAGAGCCCTAAAAGCACACCTAGAAGACTTGGTGAGGTAAGGCTATCTGAGGGACCTTGTCGATGAGGCCAGGACAAGGGAAGAATAGGCAAGATTGCCTCAAGCACCAGCAGCTCTGCCTCCCCCAGCACAGCAACCACAGGCAGGAGGACCACGGGTGGTTAATGTAATTCACTCAAAAGTGAACGAAAACGACATACGAGGGGAGACCCAGAAGGTAAAACACTTACAGCGCGTAAACCAGGTCAGACATAAAAGACCTCGGCCTGAAGAATGCCAAGGACCGACGATAGCCTTTACTGAAGCCGACCTAGAGATGGTCCAATATCCACATAATGATGCCTTGGTAGTATCCCTCCAGGTTGGGGAGTGCCAAGTGAAACACATCCTGATTGATCAAGGTAGCTTTTGCGACATCATGTATGTTAGATGTTACAAAGAGCTAGGCCTTCATCCTGATGACTTGGAGCAATCCAATGGCCCGATGGTCGGCTTCAATGGGACGCCGACGTGGCCACTGGGAGCAACAAGCTTGGAAGTACAAGCCGACACTAAGAAGATCAAGACAGAATTCATGATAATCGACACGCCCTCACCATACAACATCATCTTGGGAAGGCCATGGTTGCATGCAATGGAGGCAGTTCCCCTCAACATTGCATTAACTATTGCGATTCCCAATAGAGCATGGGATAGAGGAAGTTAGAGGCGATCAACTACAGGCGAAGAATTGCTCTATGGCAGCAATGAAATCTAC